CCTTCATAGAAATCTCCCTATGATCCAGAAAGAAAGTAATATCGTTCATTCATTCATTCATTCACCAATCACTTAACAAACATGCTCTGAGTACCTCCTATGTGCCACCCCCTGTCCTAAGCACTGTGGAGGCTACAGAGCTGAAGACACAGTCCCTGTTTCAAAGAGAGAGTTTAGAGTCTAATGGGAGAGATTATAAGGGAGATAAGCTGTATGTCAATAACTCTTATTCAAAGCTAACAAGGATAATGAGTTTGCTGGATAATGAAACACAAATTCCAAAGACTCTGACAGATGAGGCTGTTAGCTTGACTTGAACAAGATGAAATATAAATCAATTCAGTTCAAGTAGACATTATTGAGGCTCTACATTAAAAAATACAACATGGATTTCAAGCAGAGGGCAGTTTGGAGACAAGGCAAAAGTAGAAAGATCTCTGCAGGAGAAGGGAGAAACCTATTCCTGCCTGTGCAGGTTGAGGGAGCTAGAGTCTTCTGAGTTCTGCAGGGCATGGAAGCAACATGGCTCGGGCACACAAAACGTATTTGTTGAACTCATGTTTGCTCCATGCTAGAGATAGAGATAAAGGAGACAGACTTTCTTGCCTGCTGAGGTTAGGAACAACTGCAGATAGTGCAGCTTCTAAGGGGCAATGGAAAGATGAGGAGGAGTTTTCTAGACAGCCAGAGGAAGAGAATTTATTCCAGTCATGGGAAACATGTGTAAATGCACAGAGGCATCACAATAATGCACAATCTGGGAACAAGTGAGACGTTAAGCATGTTACAACACAGGAAATGAACATGAGGCTTAAAAGTTGCAAGTGGCTTAGTCATGGCCTCACGGTATCATGCTAAGGAGGTGAGTGTGAGGCCATCCTGTTGTAACAGAGAAAATGGCCTAAAAAGGGTAAAAATGTTTTCTGTTTCTTCAAAACCCCCTCACCCTTTTTGAGAACCTATATCCCTGCCTCAGGCCAGTGGTCAGAAAGGGCAGGGGAGTGTCCTTTGTTCTTGGTACCAGAGGAGAAGGCTCAAGGGAATTGTCCAGGTGGAGGTCATGAGATTGTCTTAGCCCAAGATGGGATTAGTCAGAACCATCTGCTTTAAAAGCTTTGTACTTCTGCTCAGAAGCAGGACGTCCACCCAGGGATGCCAAATTCTGTTACTGAAAGTTCAGCACTTGTCCCCAAGGCTGTATTAGAAGAACGAGGACAAGTGGTTTAAGGAGAAGGAAAGAGTTTATTAATTTGCTGGCACATGAGGGGGTTGGCAGACTCCTGTCTCAAAGTACCAACATCCTGCCTCTGAGCAGAAAAAAAGAGCTTTTAAAGGTTCTGATTAATCCCATAATAAGAATGTTTAATGTTAATAATTCATATCTCATGTGATTCCTTTATGGGTCAGCTTGATCACTTTGCTCTGATGAGAAAAGACTGGATTTTCACGTCGCTTTGAACAAGTCATTTTCTCTTTTTGGATCTCAAAGTACTTTCTTTCCACAACAAAACAGCATAAAATAAGAAAAATTCTCTTGGCCATTCCCTGCCTTAGGAATGCTGGGCTCATAAATGAGATCACATCCATAAAATGCTATGATCTCCCTAAAGACAAACGCTGTATAAATATATAGGATTATGAGCCAAGCCACTCAAAACTAGTCTGTGCATGAATGCATTGGAACGCATGACACCATGATGGACCCAAGCAACTCTTATCTTTCTATTCCATCATATTTAGGGTTGGCGTGTGTCTCCGTGACTGTTGCCTCATGGTTGCAAGACAGCTTCTGTAGCTCCAGGTGTTACATCCTTTTGCAATATTTCATTTAATAGTTTTTAAGACCCAGACCTGTGATGAGGTACTTCAATCTTGCAACCATGTTAGCTAGAGTTCTTTTGTAGATACCTTATCAAACTAAGGAAGATCGTTCCCTTTATAGTTGATGAAGGCTTTAAAAAAAAATCATGAATGGATGTTGAATTCTGCCAAATGTTTTTTCTGCATTGCCTGAGATCATATGAATCATATGAATTTCCTCCTTTATTTTGTGTCTGTAGTGAATGACATTGATTGATTTTCAGATGTTGACTCAACCTTACATTCCTCAAAAAAAAATTACTGGATTTGCTTTGCCAATATTTTGTTAGAATTTTTGCATCTGTGTTGATAAGGGATATTGGTGTGTGATTTTTTCTTTTAATTTCATGGTATCGAGCTTATTCTGACTTTATATTATGAATTAGAAAGTGTTCCTCTCTCCTTCATTTCTCCAAAAGAGTTTACGTGTGATTGATATTATTTCTTTTTTAAATGATTGGTAAGGTTTACTAGTGAAACCACCTGGCCCCTGAATTTTCTTTTTGGGACCTTAAAGACATGGGGCTGGTCTCATGTTTTATTTCTTCTTGTGCCAGGGAAGTTGTATTTTTCAAGGACTTTTTCCATTTCATATAAATTATTGAAATTATCAGCATAAAATTGTTCAACATGTTTTCTTATTATTCTTTCAATTTCTGTAGATCTGTAGGGGTGTTCCTCTTTTATCCTTGATATTTAGTTATGTTTTCTCTTTTTTCCTGACCAATCTCACTAGTAGTTTTATTGATTTTTATTAATATTTTCAAAGAACCACCTTGTGGCTTTGTTATTATTGTCTAACATTATTTTTTATTATTTTTTCCTTCACTTTGGCTTTAATTTGCCTTCTTATTCTAATTTTGTAAGGTGGAAATTTAGATAATTCATTTCAAACCTTTCTTCACTAAAATAAGCTTTTAAAGCTATAAATTTCTTGCTAAGTACTTTAGCTGCATTCCATAAGTTTTCATGTATTTTCATCATCATTCTGTTTGAAATGTTTTCTAATGCTCTTAGAAGTATGCCTGACATAAAGTATACAGTAAGTGTTACCTCCTGTTAGCTCTGGTTTTTGTTTCTCTTGTTCATAAGTGAATGCAGTCCCTTCAGAGCGTCTTTGCTGTTCCTACTGACTGAAATTTCTCCTTTATAGAAGCCCAGACTTCATCCTTCTAGTAAATTCCCATTCATCCTACAAGTGTAACCTCAAACACTACTTCCTCAAAGAAGCTTTCCCTGATGACACAGACCAGGATGGTCCTCTCATGTACTGGGTTGAATAGTGTCCCCCGAGAGTTCATGTCCACCCAAAACCTGTGACTGTGACCTTATCTAGAAACAGGGTCTTTGCAGATGTAATCAAGCTTAGAGGAGATCGTGCTGGCTTAGGATGGGCCTTAAATCCAATATGACTGGTGTCCTTACAAAAAGAGGGAAATTTGGACACAGAGACACAGACACACAGAGATAACATCATGAGACAACAGAGGCAGAGATGGCAGTGATGCACCTACAAGCTGAGGAAGGCCAAGGATTGCCGGCAACCACCAGAAGCTAAGAAGAGGCAAAGAAGGCTCCTCCCCTAGAGTCTTTAGGGAGAGTGTGGCCTTCTGGCACCTTGAATCCAGGCTTTTAGACTCCACAACTGGAAGACAATTAATTTCTCTTGCTTTAAGTCACCTAGTTTAGGAAAATTTGTTACAGCAGCTCTAAGAAACTAATACACCATGCTACATGTTTTCATACTTTCCTGTATTTTTCTTTCCTAGCTCTTATCAGAAAATTATTACATATGAATTATCAGGAAAATGGATGGCATAATAACACATACTAGTCTGGCATTTTACTAGAGGCTTCCTTAAGAGAGACCACCATGATCCAAACCAGTATTTCAAATGGTGAGGATTTTGAAGGACAGATAATTTTGAGGGAGCCTGGTCCCCAAATCACAGCATGTCAATGGCCAATTATGCTTCTCAATGCTGACCTTGGGTCACAGGGTTTTTTAATGTGTAAATTATCCAAACTGGTAGTTTTTTGCAGCAATGGATTTCCAAAACAGAGTGCTGATATACAAGTCAGAAACTTTGGTTCTGCTTCCTCCTCTGCCTCTTGAGCAAGTCTTGAGCAAGTCACTCAACCTCTCCGGGTTCCGGGCTCCCTAACTGTAAAAGTGGGTTACTGGGGCAAGACAGTTTCTACTGTCTCTTTGGCTCTAACCTTCTGTGGCTTCAGGATTTCTTGCATGAACCGTGGCTGAACCCAGGGGTGAAGCAGTAGCAGGAGGAGGAGGTGATGAGGTTGGTGCTGGACCAAGAAGGATTCTGCCTTAAAATATAGAACTGTTAGTTCTATCCGAGCTTGACTAACTTGGCAGATGGAACGGAGTAGATGTTTCTAAGGCTTCTGTTTTAAAAACGAGCTGGTCACTCCCTACGGCTGGGCCTCAATGTACTCACCTATATAAGAGAGAAGGACGGGATCTGTGGCTCCCAAGGTCTGTTCCAGCGGACCAGTGTACAGAGCTGTGACTACAAGGCGGTTCATTGCTACGCTGGAGAGACGGGCCTTGAGCTCAGCGCAGGTCACGGGGCAATCTCGGGAACTGGGCTCCTCACGTTGTTTCTTCTCATAACCCTTGCCTGTGTGTCTGGCGGGGGGCAGGGGTAATGCCGTTTTCCTCAGAATAGTCTCTAATACATGCAATTTGGGAGCAAGAATGAAATCCTGTCTTTCTCTCACAAATTATGTTGACCTCAACAAAATCACTGAATAAGTTTGAGCCCCCCTTTCCTCATCTGTGAAATAGGGATAGTTACTGGCAAAGTTGTAATACTGTCAAGAGCTGAGCAACAATGCCTCGTCCTTGTCAGGTTTTCAAGTGTTATTTTCCATTATCCTCAGGCGCGCTACGGAAAGATAAACTGAGGTATCATACGCACGCTGAGGCTCGCTGACGACCAGGCGGGCTCGGGTCGGCGGTAAGCACGCCGTGGTGCGGGGTACTCTGGTTTCACCACTTCCACAGTTTGCGCCCCTGTGGCGGAGCGGTGCCCAAGTGGGCGGGCGGAGGAGCCCAACCCGTCGGATGCCAATCACTTCGGCAAGGCCCCGCCCCCGGCCCCGGCCCGCCCCTCGCCGTGCGCGCTCCCGACACCAGCGGGCGCGCTTCGGGCGGAGACGCGACGCCGGCGGGGGCCGGGCGGGAGTTCTGCTCCCGGAAAGGAGCGGAGCCTCCAGGAAGCCGGGGGACTCCTCGCCGCCGTGGCCGGGATGCCGCCCGCTCGCGGAGCCCCGCTCCCGGGAGCCCCGGCCTGCCGAGCAGGTGAGGCCGCCTTCCGTCACGGGCGAGGGGTGGCGGGCGGCCGGGGCAGCCGGCGGGGACGGTTGAGGTGTGGGGGCCCCGGGGGCGGCGAGCGGGCCGCAGACCGACGCCTCAGCCCCGGCGCCCGGGGACTCGCCCGGGGAACCTCCCCGCTCGGCCCTGCGCGCGGACCATTCCCAGCCGCTCGGGCCTCGCGGCGACATCCGGGCGCCCCGCGGTCGGCCCCTGTGACCCGGGGTGGCAGGTGCTCGCCTCCGTGACCCGGGGTGGCAGGTGCTCGCCCCTGGGCCTCGGGAGAAGAAACCTGGCGGTCCTGCTGTCACGCCTCGTCCGGTGGTGACCGTGCTGGATTTGCCCTGCCGCGCGTGGTGTGGGCGGAACCGGGCCGCGGAGAAGGGCTGCTACACCCAGGACCCCCTTGGGCCTGCTGCCGCTTTAAATTATGACACACGTTCAACATCATCTTTGCATCGCTCTGCTTCTCCCAGGTTTCATAGTAGATTTCTCCTTGGAAAAATGGAGCTAATCGGGCGATAAAGTGATGGTCACAGCCGTGTTTCTCTACTTGAGTAATGCATGGTCTCCTTCTAAAGGGACAATTCTCTTATTTTTTAGAATATTCCCCAGAACGCGCAAGGGTCCCCAGACCCCATTTAGATGAACACTGGTGCAGAGCATTTTCAGAGAGCATTTGTCATGAAGGAGGCAAAAGAGATGCTTTATAACTCAGTCACTTTCATGCCAGATGGTAAACTAGAGGTTACTAAAGACTTCTAAATTAGAGACTCAAATCCCAGTTTAATTTCACACTGCAGTTTTTATTGTCTTCTGCTTTGTGTGATGAAAATACGTAACTGTCCAGCGTTGGAGAGACCTAGAATTTAGAATCATATTCTTTGTGTTATCTTACATTTGATGTTATCTTGTCTTTGTATCATGTTTGTTAATAATTCTGTGTGATGCTAGCAGAATTGTAAAATGGAATATTAATTTGTACAAGTAGTTTAATTATTTCTCTGTTTACCTTAACATTGATTTATCACTTGTGTTTGTTGCATATTGAATCTGTGGCTTACATTTTTCTAGCCCTGATGGGAAATGTATGATCTCAGCCCTTGAGTGTACAATCAAGGAAGGAGAGACAAAAATGAAAGTTGATCTTAGGATTTATATTCTCTACCTTATTTATTCAGCTTGTTTATTTTAATGTAGACTACCCATGAAAAAAGAGAAGGTTCAAACATTAGGATGTACAACAGGTTAAATCCTGACAAAGAAAAATATTGACCAGTGCCTTGAAAGAAGTGTACTATTGAGAGCAGGATGTCCTAGTTAGGAGGAGGTGACATTAATAAAGGCATGAGGACAGTTTGCCTGGGAGAGAAGAAGGAGACCCACCGCACTGGGGCGGAGAGATGTTATCTGGGATTGATGAGAGAACAGGTTGGTGAGATAAGGTGGCACCAGTTGGTGGATGTAAGGTTTCAGGTGCCACACAGGAAAGTTGGTTCTGATCTATAGGCGTCCAGAGGGCTCTTCAGCTGGTCGTATTTTGAAGGCAGTGTTTTACAAAGAGGTGTTTGCAAAGAGTGATGTGCATAGGGAAGGCAGGAGGTGGGTGAGCCATCAAGGGATCTGTTTTGAGCTGGTAATGTCTGCTATGGTCATCTTAGATGCATGGATCTTTGGGGAAGAATTGACAGGACTCAAGTGAGAGAATGTGTCAGCACATGAGGAAGTGGGAATCAAAGCTGAGAACCAGGTAATCCTCCTCAATGGTGATTGGTGACACCCCTCTGAGACCTGGAGAATTTGGAAGGTGCTGTTAGTTTGCATCAAAAGATTGTGACCCCAGACTTGCACTTATTGAGTTTGTGCTAACAGGGCTTCGATAAGCTCAGGATGTGGGACTGGAACTTGAGGAAAGTCAGAGTTGGAGATTTGGGAGACTACATACGTGATGTAGGAAAAATGACCAGAAAAAAACTATTTAAAATGGGGACCAGAATTTTGCAAATGAATAGTGAGAGGTAGGGAAGAGATTGATACCAAAAAATAAAATTAAAAATTTTAAAATAAATAGTAAAGAAAATGTAGATCATAAATACAACACATGCATCCTTCTTAAAACAAAGGAAGAATCTAGTTATTTTCATGTGTCTTGCCTCAGCTGAATGAGCGATGGTGCCATGTAGCAGCCTTCACCTCGGCCTCTCCCTCTCAGAAGGACAGTTATTTCTTAGAAAACTCTGCCAGAGTGGTTGAGGGCATCTTTAATTTTTTCAGGTCCTCTTGTAGTCCTTTGATATTCAAATCATTCTTTTCTGAAGCGCCCTTTAGGTCATTTTTCCATTTCTTATTCGGAGGCCGCGCTTGTCTAAGATTTCTGTCTGCATGTGATTCTCCAGTTCACAAATGTCTGTTTGCTTGAATTCTGCATTTTTCGCCAGAGGAACCATTTCCCTTTGTGGTTGATTTGCATTGTTCTCACTGTTGTCCTTAGGACTGTGGTGAGAGACTGACAAAGACATTCACCCGTGACCACATGGGCTTTTTTACTCCACTAAAGAATGTTCTGCCAAGGAGCAACCCAGCTAGCTGAAATCATCAGAATTAATGCATCTCTCTAGTGATAGATCTAATACAATTTAGGCCTTTTAAAAATGTGGCAGTTTCATGTAGTACTGAATTTGCCTCCCAGAGGTCTGGTGCCAAGAGTCTTAGCTGCACGGACAATCGGAGTTTACATTTTAAGATCAAATTACCGTATCATTGACTACTGGGCAATAATTGGCCATACTTTCATCCTAAGTAAAAATAATTACAATGCTTCCGCAATTTATATGCTCTCTATTTTTCTCTTTGCCTTTAAACACAAGTTTTGTCACTTATAATAATATTTATTTATCCTTTTGGTCAAAATCCTCACAGATCTCAAAAAAAGTCCTGAACCAGATGAAGTAAAAAGTTTACTAAGTGTGCTGTGATCATTCTCATCTTCTTTCTCACCTCTGTCCAAAGTCCACCTCCCACTTCCAGGAATCGTTAACACCAGCCTTCACTGTACTCTTCTCTGAGCTTACAGCACAAATCCATGTAATTTAACATTGCCTTTAATTATTCTCTTGATTATTTCCTGGGAATTAGTATTAATATTTTCTCTCTAGCAATTGACAAACTCCATGACGTTTGGAGTTGGGCTTGTTATTCCTTCTGTCATCTTCGTAGTACTGATCATTGAATCATTTTAAAAGCCTTTCTTCCCCAAGGACCAGTTTGCCTTTAACAGTGACTTTAAGCCATTAACTAAAACTTTCTTTCCTTTGGTGATGGTTTAGCTATCACATAACTATCACTGATTCTTTTAAATGTTCAGACTGGAATTCTATGTCATGTGTTTTTAAGTTAGGCTTTCTCAGTATATCTGGAAGAGGATTTGATGCTGGAAACTGAAGATATCATCAAAGGTAGCTTGTTAAAAATAGTTGTGATTCTTTCTTCTGACAATAAAATTAATAAATGCCCTTAGAAAAACGTAGGCATGTCTAGGCAAGAAAATAAAGATGATCCATGACCTCATTACTCAGAAATCACTAATCACGATTAACATTTGGTTTTTCTCCTTTTTTCCCCCATGCATGGTGACATTTTTTCACTTAGTATATCATAGAAATATTGCCATATCAATACATATAGATCTGTATCATCGTCTATAATAGATTGTTTTCCATGGCATAAATGTATGCTGTTTAATTTTACCCATCCCCATAGTGGGCATTAGTGTTTTGCTATTATACACAATACTATGATGAACATCCTATAGATAGTTTAGTTTAGAATTTACCCTATTATTTCCTAAGGATGAATTTCTGGAAGTGTGATAGGTAAAGCAGAGGGTAAACATGTATAAAATGTTCACGTGTGTTGCCCAAATGCCCCCGGAAGGCTAGTAGTGTACCTGTTTAGATTCTCACCAACACTACTGGTAGACCTTGTTAGCAAAGGATCATCAGACTTTAGTTTCTGCCAATCTGAGAGCTCCTTTTATTTCTATTTATCTGAATACTGATAATAAAGTTATAGTAGCCATTTGTATTTCTTACTTTGCTAATTTCCAATTATCTTTTCCCATTTTCCTGTTTCAGTGTTTTTTATTTCTTTATAAGAACTTTTTACACATAAAGGATGTTTTCCTTTATCATGCATGTTACAAGTACTTTTCCCAAGCTGTATACTTAGGGGTTTTTTTTTTAAGCACACAGAAGTTTTAGACTCGTGTAGACGTATTTTCTTTCATTTATGATTTGAGACATTGATGTCATTTATAGAAAGACCTTACCCATTCTAAGATTGTGTAAATATTTACATAATCTTACATTTTCATCCTACTTTTTTTTTTTTTTTTTTTTTCTAAGATTGTGTAAATATTTACATAATCTTACATTTTCATCCTACTTTTTTTTTTTTTTTTTTTTGAGACAGAGTCTCACTCTGTTGCCCCAGCTAGAGTGCCGTGGCATCAGCCTAGCTCACAGTAACCTCAAACTCCTGGGCTCAAGCGATCCTCCTGCCTCAGCCTCCCGAGTAGCTGGGACTACAGGCATGTGCCACCATGCCCGGCTAATTTTTTATATATATATTTTTAGTTGTCCAATTAATTTCTTTCTATTTTTAGTAGAGACGGAGTCTCGCTCTTGCTCAGGCTGATTTCGGACTCCTGAGCTCAAATGATCCGCCTGCCTCGGCCTCCCAGAGAGCTAGGATTACAGGTGTGAGCCACTGCGCCCGGCCAATTTTCATCCTACTTTTTTTATGGATTTTTAAATATTTAAATCTTTAAGCCATTGGAATTTTAATAAAAGGTGTGATGTAATCTTACCAGATTCAGATGTAAAAGGTAGCTATTTTAGAAAAACACATTAAGATTCATTTAAACAACTAGATAATAAACTTTCTTTTACTTTCTGTGTATACTTTTAAAACACAAATATTATTTGTCCTAAATTTTGGGTACATGGTACAATATGGACACCATATTAAAACTTGAACTAATTAAAGTGATTTTCCCCCTTTTTCAGGTAGGCATTATTATTAATAATACTTTTTACAATGTAGTATTTTTGTGTGTGTGTTTTATTCCCTCTACTGGATTATCAGTTCTTTAAGGGCTGGGTCCATATCTGGTTCATCTTCATATTACCCATTTACAGCCATCTGTGAAACAAACAATGGTTGCTCATCACTTTTGTGGCAGGCGCTGGTCACTAGGGAGACAGAAGGATAAGAGGCTGTCCCTGCCCTTGTGAGGCTGGCCATGTAGTGGAAAAGTGAATCATAGTTATATACTGCAGCCCACTACTGTGATAAGCAAATGCTCTGGAGATATGAGGATTGGGGAAGCTCTCACTGAGGACTCAAGCTTCATCTGTGTCACGAGGGATACTTGGGAATGCAACCAGTTGACCCCTCAGAGGGAGGTTCATTCTGCAAATGCTGAGAAATGCAAGGCATTTCAGTAATCTGCATCTTGTGTTTAGTATGTCTGGAGCTTAGGGTATATATAGGGCTCTGTCATGGGGTGAGACTAGAAGAATAGGCACTAGATCAGTGCTGTCCAAAGAACTTTCTGTGATGATGTAAGTGTTATATGTCTGCACTGGTTAATGCAGAAGCTACATGTGGTAGTTGAACACTTGAAATGTGGCTAGTGCAACCAAAGAATTCAGTGTTTAATTTAATTTATTTATTTATTTTTTGTTTTTTGAGTCAGGGTCTCTCTCTGTTGCCCAGGCTGGAGTGCAGTGGTGCTATCACAGCTCCTGCAGCCTCAAACTCCTGGGCTCAAGCGATTCTCCTGCCTCAGTCTCCCAAGTAGCCGGGACTGCAGGTGCGTACCACCATACCTGGATAATTTTTTATTTTTTATAGAGACAGGGTCTCACTGTGTTGCCCAGGCTGGTGTCAAACTCCTGGCTGCAAGCAATTCTCCTGCCTTGGCCTCCCAAAGTGCTGGGATTACAGGTGTGAGCCACTGTGCCCAGCCTAATTTTATTTAATTCTAACTACTTTAAATAGCCACATGTGGCAGATGGCTACCACACTGGACAGTTCAGGACTGGATATTTTAAACTCTAAGGAGTTAGAGCTTTTTCCTAAGTGAAAAAGGAAGGTTGGTGGTGGGGAGTTACCATGACTCCTGTTTTGGGCAGATCACTCTAGGTTAGAGGTTCTTAACCTTTGGGGGTCCCAGAACTCTGAAACTTGAGTTCTTGCCAGCCCCTTTCCTGAAACTTGAACCGCAATGCCAGTGGCCTTTTTGGAGCTCATGTTCTGGAGGAGGAGACGCACTAGTGAAATGCAAACACACGCAGTATGTTAGAAGGCAAGGGTAAGAGTGTGGATTCTCGTGTTTGAATCCCACCTTTACCCTTTATTAGCTGTGTGACCTTAGGCAAGTTGCTTAGCCTCTCTGCCGCATATGTAAAATGTTATGATAATATTAATAGTACCTACATAGTAGGTTGTTAGGAGAACTAAATATTTGTAAAGCATTTGGGAGCCTGGCATATAATGAACACTCTATAAGTATGTAATTTAAAAAAGTAAATGCTAACGAGAAAAAATAAATTAGGGAAGGGTGTTATGGGAAGGGGGTCTTTGCAATTGATTGGGTGGCCAGAGAAGGTGACACTTGAGTAAAGAGCTGAAGGGAATGAAAAAGTGAGCCACACAGATTACTTCTAGGCAGAGGAAGCAGCAAGCTCAAGACCCTGAGACCAGAGAGTACCTGGCATGTTTGAGGACCGCTAGGGAGGTCAGTGTGGCTGGAGTGGAGTGAAAGTGGAGAGTAGATGGTGAGGTTGGAGCCTTAACAGGTGCCAGATCCTGTAGGACTGCATAGGTCAGAGTGGAGCCTTTGGACGGTTTTACTTGCAGGAGTAATGCAGTCAGGGTCCTGAGCAGAGGCGGAGGATGGCAGCTTCCCAGGAAAAGTCTGTGCCTGTGGGTGTTGGGGAGAGCATTGGGTTGAGACTGCAGGAAGAAGACTGGTTAGGCTGCTGTTTTCATAGAGCAGGCAAGAGATAAGAACCTGACCTTAGGCAAAGATGAGAAAGAAGGGGACAGATTTTAGATAAGTAAGCTGAGGTTTAACACATGGAAGGAATCCTAAGAAATTGGCTATAGAAGATGAAAGCAGGGGTCAGGCATGACTCTGTAGTTTCTGATTTGAGCAGCTTTGTGGAATCCAGACTGGGACTGCAGGGGAGCAGGCTGGGAGAAGAGCAAGTGAGAATTACAGCTGAGGAGTTCGGTTTTAGAAATGTTTCTCACGGTCCTACGCAACATCCAGATGGAGAATATCTCATAGGCAGTTGAAGATGCATATTGTAGCTCAGAAGCCTGGGGTGGGGAAATAATTTTTTGAGTTATCTGTTAATGGACACAGTAATGAGGCTGACCAGAAACGGCAATTGCACTTAGAAGAGAATGAGCCTCAACAGAACATAAGAGCAGTTGGGGTTGGCAGAGAGCGAGGAGTCTCAAAGGACTCTGAGAGGAGTCGTTCTAGAGCGAAGAAGCAGACTAGAGGCGACAGCTGTCTTGAGAGGTAAAGCATCTCCCGAGACCTGGGAAAGAGAGAGACCATTCATCCTTTGGCTCTGGCAGGTCGGAAGCAGTTCCTGGTTGTAGGACTTCTGTCTTCTCCAAGATTTCAGGTCTGGAGGCTGGAAGAGCAGTGATAATGGTGAAGGGGACAGAGAACTAACTAGAGGCATAGTGCTTTGCATGGTATTTTATACATAAAAGGGAAGTCTAATAGGCATTTGTCAAATGGATAGATATTTAAAATTCCCATTCAGCTAAATCATTCTGTCTGCCTCTTACCTCCACTCTAAATCTTCCCTGTGCTATAATGTATTTAAGGCCTGTTTGACATCCTGATATTTTGAGGTCACTGAGATGCTTTTGAATAGAGAACACTAACTAGTGCCAGACTATTATCATCTCTTTTGATTTAGGTCTATATCTCTGACAGCATGAAGTTAACTTACAAGTGTGTAGCTCAAAATAAACTCTTCCAATAGTTTCAGCGCAAGGATCATGTACCAGATTATGTGTGGGTGGGTTTAAGCGTACACTTGGTAACAGTGGCAGTGGCTCATGCCTATAATCCTAGCACATTGGGAGGCTGAGACGGGAGGATTGCTTGAGGCCAAGAGTTTGAGACCAGCCTGGGAACATAGACCCTGTCTGTACAAAAAGTACAACAATTGGGCAGGTGCAGTCGCTCACACCTATAATCCCAGAACTCTGGGAGGCTGAGGCAGGAGGATTGCTTGAGCTCGGGAGTTGGAGGTTGCTGTGAGCTATGATGACACTGCTGCACTCCAGCCTGGGTAAAATCCTGTCTCAAAAAAAAAAAAGAAGGTAGACATTTTCCTTGATTGTGCTATCTTTGTGATTTTTCTCACTTTGTGGTTTTTCTCACTGAAACAGGAGGGCTCTAACTCCTTGAGGACCCCAACATTGTTTCTGTAATTGTGTGTGAGAAGGACTGACTCCCAGAACATTGCTTGGTCGCTCACCTTTCAGTATGGGGAGGTAAGTGAAGGGTCCAATAGCTGGCATGGTAAAACCTGAGATTTTGGTGCTGCAAAAAACAGATCTTGAGAGGAAAAAACATCTAACTCCCAAGGGAAAAGTGTTTGAAGTTGTACTACACTTCTGTTTAACACCTTTATTCTGCCAGGGCCCAGGGGGCGTTTTCAGGGGTTAGTATAGTTTATAGTCAAGGCATGCATGCTGGGATCTGCAGGGTGGTTGTATTAAGTACAGAATAATGGTAGCTTCTGAGGTGTGGGGAAGAACAGGAAGATAAATGCCTAAATGCCATGGAGTGGTTTAAGAACCCCTATGGAGACTAGAAACTACAAGTGGAACTTTCCATTGAGTTAGTTACCTTTGGTGAGGTATTTTAGTCCAGGAAGCACTCTTCAAGGCAAAGAGTAGAAGTTAGCTGTAAAACAATAAAATTCATACCAAAGACATTAAGGTTTTTTTTAAAGCCTAATAATAGTTCTAGAATGAGCCTCCTATTCCTGACATAAACAGAGAAGAAACATTTATTTGCAAAAATATTTCACAGGAATATTTCTAAAAGCACAGAACATACTAATACTAAATGCATTTATTGACTTTGTTATGGGGATGTTGTTAAAGATACTATTTTCTCCTGTTAGTCAGTCTTGGAGAAATTTGCCTTGGAATTCAGTGTTAGGATGATTTACTCATCCTGAGCTCTTCATAGGTTTCTAATGTGGCAGACAATGTTTTGGCTTCCATGCTGCTCAGTGGTATTTGCAAGCCTACCTTTCAGCATGCATTTCTGCATACCAAGTTTTCCTTTGGTTTTGTCATTCTTAAACCTGATTTTATCATCAATTTATGTATTTAGCTTATTGAACTTACAAGCTGTCTCTAATTCTTTTTGGAACAAAGCAGGGTAGAATAAAAATCTGCATAATGCTCTCAAGAAAACCGGAAAACACAGGAGTGTCATAGCCATCAGGGCCTAATTCTCATTCATGTAATTTTATAATAATGGATTCTGTAGCAAAATAAGTAGTGTAATATGAAAGATGCTGGTATACAGATACTTACAGGGAGGGAATAGGGATAACTCAAGCTGAGTATCTTATTATAGGATCAGTTTAGGTGAGAGGAGGCCTGTTTGGAACAGATTGCTTTAAAAAATCTGTTTTTTTGGAATTTCAGGATCGGCATCTCGTGTCTTTTTCCTGCTTCTTGGCATTTTAGCATCTCTCCAGTGGGGTGTCCTCGAATTCTGAATACCAATTTACGCCAAATTATTGTCATTAGTGTCCTGGCTGCTGCTGTTTCACTTTTATACTTTTCTGTTGTCATAATCCGAAATAAGTATGGGCGGCTATCCAGAGACAAGAAATTTCAAAGGTAAGAAATAAAAACATTTCTAGATGGGATGCCATACTTTCTGTTTTATCTGATTCAGGCTGCTATAACAGAATACCATAGACTGAGTGGCTTATAAACAACAGAAATTTATTTCTCACAGTTCTAGAGGTTGGGAAGTCAAGTGCTGGCAAGATTGTGTGTCTGGTGAGGGCCTGTTTCCTGGTTCACAGATGGCATCTTCTCACTGTGTCCTCACGTGATGGAAAGGGGCGAGGAAGTTCTCTGAAGTCTCTGTCCTCATGATCTAATCACCCCCAGAGGCCCTCACCTAATAGCATCACATTGGTGATTACGTCTTCAACAATGAATTTTGGAGGGACACAAACTTTCAGACCATAGCACCTTCGTTTGATGGCTTCAAGACCTTTGGGGCAAAGTTGGAATTTAAGGAGCGTATAACTGTAGGAACTGGATTCTGTACTGTGTGCAACAAGGCATGAAAAATTTAACTGTTTGAAACTGGTTAACTGCTGACCACCAAATTCATATCAGAAGAGGCTCTGGAATAATTATTTACACATAAGCTTCTCCTGTAATGTTTTAAGCTGATTTTTGAGTTGATGTTGGTAGTTAGAAATAGAGGTTTGCTTTTTGGAATTTGTCTGAATTTATGTAAATGAATAGTAAGTGTATATCTGAAGATGATCCTTATCACCAACGTTTGTTTTGTGTTCTTTTGACTCTTTATTCATTTGGCAGTTATAAAAATGTTATAGCGCTGCTACTGACTGACTTGTTAGAAATCACTGACTTGTTATTTGTTTATTAAATTTTCTCTGTTAAGTTTAGGATGATATTCTCTATCTCAATAAAAGCATGTATGTTTTTCCACACAAGGTACTTGGCACGAGTTACTGACATCGAAGCTACAGACACCAATAACCCCAATGTGAACTACGGGATCGTGGTGGACTGTGGCAGCAGTGGGTCTCGAGTATTTGTCTACTGCTGGCCAAGGCATAACGGCAATCCGCATGATCTGCTGGATATCAGGCAAATGAGGGATAAAAACCGAAAGCCAGTGGTCATGAAAATAAAACCTGGTATGTAAATGAGAACATCTGCCTGTGACCAAGCTCTGTCCTGCCACTCTGTGGTGTCCTACACGCCCTTCCCTTATCACTGTCATCGCTGTTCTGCAGGCTCAGGCCAGGACCTGTTGGGTCTCCTTGTGTCACTTTCTTTTCCCTTTTCTGTCTGTGTGGCATAGGGTGACTAACACCTTGATAAAACATCCAAAAACCTTGTCTTTTTGTCTCCCGTAGCATTTGTCATAGTGCCTTACTCAAGTGTTTGCTAGGTGACATTCAGCAGGGAGGGATTTTCGTGTTTGGTAGCCACTGGTCTCTATCCTTAATGCCAAGGTAATTTCAGATAACCCCTGAAAATCTGTACTTTAATTATTAGGATATATTTGTCATTTTTAAAAATTGCTACCCAAATATATTTCTAATCATATAGATTATTTAATAAGGGTGATCATAGAACTTACAGCTAATATAATTATTCCAGTTTATAAAGCTGTTACAATTTCTAAGTCAGTGTGTGATGTACAAATTGAGATTTGGCTTCTCCATTAGATAATTTAAAGTAGTGGTTCCCAGCCTCTTTCTGTGTCATCACCATTTTCACGGGCAGCCACCCCTCTGTCAGGAGCATTGGGGACAGAAGATACCAGGAGCACCTGGAAACAAGCTTCATACATCTCGATAGTTGGTAATCACTGATTTCAGTCAGTGTACCATAGATCTTAATAGAGATACAGCAATTTAATTTCGTTTTACTAATGTATTAAATAGTAAAATATTAAATCCAAATAATGCAAGAAATTTATCTTTTAAAATATTAGATAATACTGATAAATAATAGTTCTCATAGCTTATTATCCCCGTTTCAGAATAAAATAGATAGTAAAAAGGATTTTCAGTTTAACATGCTCAAATAAATGTCCTTGTAAAATGACGTAGAATGTGGACCCCTTGAGCCTACTCATTCTTCCCTGAATAGTTCAGACCCCACCTCCTTCTTCAGGCAACCCTCAACAAGTTGATTGCACTTTGATGTTTGCAGTTGAGTACTAGCATATTACTCAAAACTTCAAAATCTCTACCTTATTTTTCAGGTTAAGGAGAAAAAACCTAATATGAGTCTATATACAAGCATTATTTTGTTACCAGAGTACATTTCCATGAACGAAGGTTAATTTTTCTTTAAATCTTAGTGAATGCCTTTTAAATTTTAGTTTTCTATTTTCCTACTCATTAAATTTTTATGTATCCCTAATTTTAGAAACATTTTCAGGGCTAAAGTAATATTGATCAAATAAAAAATTCACAAGAAGGCTACAAAATAAAAGAATAAAGCACTTTACATTTTGTCTGGGTTAACATACTAGGTTTTGTCAGTGATTAAGCTGGTCTGGAATAATATGAAAACTGTCATGCCTTGGAGTTGTCCTTTGAGAATGAAGGGACAGCTACAACATCATCCCACGGTATATACCAGAATCTTATTAAAGTCAGGTTTAACATGTTTTTGTCTCCATACAAAGTGCGTGAAATAGAAATCAAAATACGTTTTTATAGCACTTCTCTTAAAGCATGGTCTCCCATGTGTAGCATACAGGAAGGCTCTAGAAATTTCTTTAATAGATTTTGGCTAGTTTGGGCCTTGGTGACCATTGAAATAGCACTGTATGTGGAGTTCAAAATACCTGTAGATGAGTGTGATTTCTGCTGATTGCTTTGATAAATCACTTTATATTTCTAGGTTCACAATTTCCTAATATTGTGAAATAAGGAATTTTTGAACTTTGAAACTTCCCCTCATTTTTAATATTGTAGGCTAAATGACAGCTGTAAGTCATTCATTCATTTAGGTGCTCATTCAACATATTTGTTGAGTGCTCACCATTTGCTAGGGACTGTATTAGGTGCTGGGAATATAAATTTGAACAAGACATGTTTTGTGGCCTTGAGGAGCTTCCAGTTGCAATGAGACAGGCAAGCGAATGAGAAGTTTTGCTAAGGCATAATGAGTGTACAGCTAACAGTGGGAGAAGCACAGAATGTAACGAGAGCTCATCTTCAGGGTTCTGCTAGGGGAGACTTCCACAGAGAAAGGAACTGGGTGGTTGTGCAAGAGTTAGCCAGGTGGAAAGGGATGGGGAGGGGGTAGGGAGGCAGACAGAGAAGAGAGGGCTCTTCCTGGGGAAGGTGCACAGGCCCTAAGGCCACAGTGTGGTGCATTGTAGACATGTTAGCCTAGCGTAGCTGAAGGCGAATGTCAGGAACTCAGGAAGAGAAGGGTGGGTGAGTATGCAGAGCAGGACCTGCTGTTCTAGAGTGGAGCTTTGTCTGGAGGGCATTGAGGAGTCACAAACAGATTTGAAGTTGGGAAGAGGCATCCTCAGGGGTGTGGTGGGGGTTGGGGGGTGTCCAAACCAGAGGTGGGATGTCTTGCAGCAGAATGGCAGAGGGTGGTGGTGTCCGAAGAGGCAAAAAGTGAAGTAACATGACAGGAATCGAGGAGAGGTGATCTTTGAAACCAGGATGCACGTTGGGGTGAGGGAGAGAGATTTAATCCAGGATACTGGCTTGGGCTGCTGGCTGCCCAGTACTCATGGTCACCAAGGGAGGTAACAGGCATTGGGGACAGGCTGGTACTGACAGTGGAATTAAGATTTGGACCTGCTGCATTCGAGGTGGCCGAAGACAAGCAAGGGCAATGTCCAGGGGACAGTCACCACATGCTGACCTGGAGGCTATGACAAGCTGGGTGGTTGCTGGTACAATGTGGGCTCCATGACGTGTTGATGGTGATGGCAGCTGTGGGAGTGCCTGAGCTGGCCTGAGGAAGGGGGACGGCATTTCTCGAGGGCATTTATGAGCCCTTGTGTGTGGCACTGTCACATAGCAGATGCTCCGTCAGGTCTGTGTGCTTTGATGATGGAGAAAGGGGCACAGAACTGAATGTTTAGTGCCACCAACATGTAAGGAAGAGAGAGGCAGAAGCAGTTACTAGAGGGGTAGGGAAGACTAAAGAGTATAGCGTATAGCTTGGATTTCTCTAAAATTAGCTACGTGGAGGAAACATATTACCTAAAATATCCAGTTGTTAACTGGAGTGTCCTGTTTCTCTAGGCATTTCAGAATTTGCTACCTCTCCAGAGAAAGTCAGTGATTACATTTCTCCACTTTTGAACTTTGCTGCAGAACATGTGCCACGGGCAAAACACAAAGAGACACCGCTCTACATTCTCTGCACAGCTGGAATGAGAATCCTTCCGGAAAGGTGGTCCTCCTCTGGGGCGTGGAGGGTGCTCGTGGAGGGGTTTGGTTCTCCTTCCTCCTTGCTTCCTCCTCCTCCTCCTTCATCATCATCATAAGGAAGACATTCAAAATTCTTCAAATCTGGAATAATATCAGAAGTATTCCCTTAGCCAGAACCCACCAAATATCTTTTAATTTACTTGTTTATGACTATAAATAGTAAACTCTAAACCTGTCATTTTAAAAAAACTAATCAATTTAATTTACTTAAGGAATGTTGTTCACAGTGGTAGTTTTACATCTAGGAATCACATAATTCACATAACTTGTTCATTTTGAGAAAACTTCCCTAAAATAAACAATCTTTTCAACAAATTGCTTTGGTTTTAAAATTAACTATTTCATATAGGATATACAAGGGCCATGGGGTTTTTTGGGTTGTTTTTTCTTTTCAAAACAGAAAAATTCAAGCTGTAATATTTTGATAATGTCAATGTTTGGGTTGCCTTACAGCCAGCAGAAGGCCATTCTGGAAGATCTTCTGACCGATATCCCCGTGCACTTTGACTTTCTGTTTTCTGACTCTCATGCAGAAGTAATTTCAGGGAAACAGGAAGGTTAGTATATTGGTCTTCAACTTAAAATTTCGAAGCTGTTGCTTTAAGTCCTCCCCAATTTCCCCAGTGTACACTTTATTAAATTACTCCCAATATCTTCAAATTTGGGAAATCATAGCTTTGAAATATTATAATTTTTAAATGACTAAATTTGAGTTTCTTACGTGACTGATCTTTATTACCCGAACAGTAAGCCATTAAGAAATATCTCAGTTTGTCTTCACCACATTTAGGAAACATATTTGGAACTTATTTTGATGGAAAAGATTTGTGTTCCTTGCCTGGGATTATGAGAATTATTGAGCTGTTGGAACCTCCTGTTTTACTTGCTAGGAAGGGGAAATTCTTCTTGACTTTGATATACTTAAAGTATTAGTTCTATTTTCAAAGAAATTACTCTAGTTAAGAATGAAACGACAAGTCAGTGAAACAATTTGGAGAATGGCTGGTTAGAAACGGAGACCAAAAAAAAAAGTATTTATTTCAAAGTCACCTATCATTTCAGCTTATACTTCCTATGTGAAAGGCGCTGTAGAGTACAAAACTGGGTGAAACTCACGTGTTGCCATTGAGCTGCTTATGGACAAGTGAGATACACGATTTGCTGCCATACGAGGCAGTTTTGGATGCCAGAGAAAGATAAGGAAAAAACATCACAAGAGTTCAAAAGAGGAAGGCATTTTTTTTCCAGCTAGGGCTATCATGGGGAAAGTAACATTTGAACTGTGCCTCAAAGGATAGTTCTAAGTAGAACACGCGGGAGCACGATAAGGGTAGTGCTCTGAGGGAGGGATACGAAGCACATTCCAGCCAGAAGAAAGGATTTGGGTCAAGACAGGTTGGAAAGGACGCACTGTGGACAGAGGGGAAAAAATGTTTTAGTTTGATTAAATGACGGCTCTTTTGAAAGGCAGTAGTAATGTTGTAAGTTGGATGGATCTCGAATTGTCAGTCCAGGGGTGTGGACTGTGTTCTGTAGTTGAGAGCAGTAGCAGAGGATAGAGCAGGTTGCAGGGGAGGAGCAGGGGCAGGATGGAGTGGATCGGCCATCACCACCACCCTCGGTGATGGCTTAAATTTAAGTGGCCATGAAACTGGGTAAAGATAGGGGGTGGGAAATGATCAGAAAATAGAATCAGTTTTGGCAACTGAGTGAGGAATAAATGAAAAAGTAGAGTAGAAGATACCTTGAATTTTTAAAACCTTGCAGTCAATAGGATTAATTTTATAAAAAGTTAACTCTAGTATTTTTAAATAACCCATAAATTTTAAAGGAAAACTAGCACCTGGGGAATTGTATTTTCAACCTATGTAAATGATATAAAACTATGTCAAAAGTCAAGAGTTCTTGGTAAAACATTAACAAAAGATAAAAAAAATCAGTAGAAATGTGTTATTTAAGATGATTTCATAGAGGAGTAAAATAAATGAGATGTTTGCACAGAGTGCATTAATAAGATTTATACAAAATATCTTAAAACTTTATTCTTCTTCTGTTCACCCTGTGAAATGCTTGTAGGTGTCTATGCTTGGATTGGCATTAATTTTGTACTTGGACGATTTGAGCATATTGAAGATGGTGAGTGTTGTGTTTCCAACTAATGTGTCTAACTGGAAATTAGGGCTTTTCTGTTTAACCCCAGGGCTGAAAAAAGAGTTAAGTTTTGTGACACTGCTAAGCGTGTGGGAGTAGGATGAGAGATGCTGCAGTGTAACACAGTTAGACTTGGTTTCAGTTGGGAGGAATAGGCTGGGTTTGCCTAAATATGCCTGAAATGTACCATGAAAATAAGGTGACTCTTCAGAAGATCCCAGTTCTCTGGCTTTGTTCTATCCAGTGAACATTTTCTGTTCTTTCCAGATGATGAGGCAGTTGTGGAAGTTAACATTCCTGGTAGCGAAAGCAGCGAAGCCATTGTCCGTAAAAGAACAGCGGGCATTCTTGACATGGGAGGCGTGTCAACTCAGATAGCATACGAAGTCCCCAAAACTGTAAGCTTTGCCTCCTCACAGCAGGTCATTATCTGTACAAATTTCCTTCTGTTTGGTTTGGTTTTCATTTAACATGTCTCCATCCATTTTTGTTTTGTTTTCTGAGTCTGAACACACCTTTCCTGTGCTTACTGAGGCTCCACCTTCTCAGCGCAGGAGAAAGACAGGAGGAACAAGGCAGACCTCAGCTGAGCTGTTGTGTTTGTTCATTGAAATCAGCTGGTTTGTTTGCTGTACTTAGAGTTTTCCTTTGGTATATATGCAGCCGCATGCTTGCGTCTCTGTTTATATTTCCCCTTGAATCACTTCTTTTCTCAACAGGTTTTATAAAACTTAATATAATAGCATCAGATTTTTGAAGTTATAATTGGGGACAATCCTTTGTTGAATGGCTCAGACAGCTTTTGAACTTTTCTGGGGAGGATTAAGGTTTTGTATTGACTCCCTCCACATTTATGAACTTGTGGTTCACTCAGTCTTTTCCCCACCCCTTCACTGCTCTCTCAGTCGGTGCCTGGAAGTTTCTCAGTAGGCTGGGCAGCCCTGTCCAGAGATCCATAGCACAGTTTCCAGATGGGTTCCTGCACTGCTACGTGTCTATATTACCATGTTTCTGTTCAGCCGTAAATTAACACCAGTGCCTGGCTCCCTGCGTTTTCCCGGGAAGTTGGGGAGGCAGTGTAGTGTGATGGTTACAAGTGAGGCCCTGGACCCGGACAAGCCTAGGTTGCATCATTATCCTATCCTCACTAGTTGTGCAAGTCAGGGAACTTTTGTGAGCCCCAGTTGCTTCATCTGTAAATGTGAATGAATATACCTACAACATGGGGTTATTATAAGGTTTAAGTGAGGTAATGCATATACTATATCTAATGTGCTGGTAGGCATCTAGTATGTGCTTAGTAAGTGTTATTGATGCCTTTATTAAGCTTCATGGAAAAATGCTTTGTAAATTCAAGTATTACGATTCGTGTTTCCTACTTCCCATTCCAGACATGCCTCTAGAAACTATTACACTCTTTGTAAAACATTACGTTTTCCCCCTTCAATATAAAATAAAAATAAATATATGAAAGATGTTTGGGAAACATACCAAAATAGCCAAATTAAAAATCTCCCATAGACTCATCATCCATAAAAACCATTGTTAGCATTTTGGTGAATTTCTTTTCATTTTTTTTTTAAATTATAGTTTTTAAAAATATAGTTGTTATAATTTTACTGTTTATATGATTTTGTGTCCTTTATTTAATAGTGCATGAGCATGTTCCTTATTGATTACCATAATTAACTTAACCTTCCTTTGGTATTGTATATTTACATGACATCCAGGTTTTTATGTCATAGAATTACAAAAGACATCTTTGTGTATAGAGACATTTCTGTGTTTAGGTTTATGTCCATAGCATAAGAGTCCATAAATAGATTTACTAGGTCAAATGTTATGAACGATATGCTGAATTCCTTTTCAAAAAGTCGTAACAGTTACAAATGTTCAGGACATCTGAATTCATAAGTCAGAATTGTCTTATTGTTATGAAAGATGCTTAGAAGGATCTTTGGGAAATGCAGAAGCAGAAATTTTTGCGCCTTTTAGATGAGACTCTTTTTAGACCCCTCTTTTTAATAGGAGGTTTAAAGTTGCTTAAAATATTAAAGTTTGTTATCCATACGTCTGCAGGAGGAAGTAGCTAAGAACTTGCTAGCCGAATTTAACTTGGGATGTGATGTTCACCAAACTGAGCATGTGTACCGAGTCTATGTGGCCACATTCCTTGGATTTGGTGGCAATGCTGCTCGACAGAGATACGAAGACAGAATATTTGCCAACACAGTTCAAAAAAACAGGTAAAGCACCTTCCGCTGCTCGACAGTCACTTGCAAACCTAGATCTCTCCTTGTAAAAACAGATCCAGGCACAGCAGGGAGAACTCAATCAGCAAACACGTGTTGGCACTGTTAGCTTTTTATTCCCCAATAGCTGAGCAGGGAGAAGGAATGAGAGCATACGAGGGTCCTGCCTCCAGTGCTCCGTCCTGCCACGCTCCAGAAGAAGCTTGTGCGCGCACACGCGCGAGCTCTCTCTCTCGCTCCCTTTCTCAGAGGTGCATCTTACCTGATGAATTAGGAATTTCACCATCAGGCTGAAGGATAGTTTTGAACCCTGGATAATGCTGTTCATGATTGCAGAGTCCTTGGGAAACTCAGCACGTGGGGCTCTACTGGTGTCCTGCAGCTAGTGTGTGCACTTGTCGTTGCTGAGAAGACTGAAATATGTCATGTTCTGGAGACTCTGCAGATAACCAGCCCGTGCAGCTATATAGTAGATAAGAACCACTGTGAAGGGAGTTACAAGAGCAAGAAGTCAGAGTTAGTGGTTTTTAAATATTTTTAGAAGTGAAACTTTAAGGAACAAGCACGTACAGAATTCTGGGATAGAAAATATATAAAATAAAAGCAACACTATCAGTTTAAATTTATTTTATAAGTTTAAGTATATAGCAATTATTTATTTGTAATTAGTCCATAAGAATAGAAAAACTATTTGGATGAATAAAAGAATCTGAATCTAGGGTTGTGTAAGATAATCCTATTCATTACTGTGTTTTATGTGTTTTGATGAAACATTTTGAGGAGAAAAATCCTAATTCATAGAGTTAAATGATAGTATATTTCCTTGATTGATATAATCTTAATAAACCTGTGAAGGCCTGAACTTTAAAAAAGACCAAGTCAGAGTTATTCAGTACCACACCTACTAGAAATTCAGGCATTTAGATAGGAAAATCAATAAAAACCTTTTCCTGTGTCTGTTCCAAAAGATAATTGAAGAGTGTTAATTATGAGATTGATAGTCCCATTTTTTTTTAATTAGTATCTAGCACGTTTTGGTATAATTATTATTATTATTTTTTTTTTTTGAGACAGAGTCTCACTCTGTTGCCCAGGCTAGAGTTCCGTGGTGTCAGGCTAGCTCACAGCAACCTCAAAGTCCTGGGCTCAAGCGATCCTCCTGCCTCAGCCTCCCAAGTAGCTAGGACTACAGGCATGCACCACCATGCCCGGCTAATTTCTTATATATATATTTTTAGTTGTCCAGCTAATTTCTTTCTAATTTCTGTAGAGACGGGGTCTTGCTCTTGCTCAGGCTGGTCTCAAACTCCTGACCTCAAGCGATCCACCCACCTTGGCCTCCCAGAGTGCTAGGATTACAGGCGTGAGCCACCGCACCTGGCTGGTGTAATTATTTTTTATAATAGTTGTAAAATAGAGATATTTTATAAATGACATTTTAATCATTTTTTTCAGATTCATGGAACACCTTCTTTTGAAATCCTAATTTTTACTAATTGGTTTTAACATCAAAAAGCTTTGTATAATAGTTGAGTGGTGCTTCTTAATTTAGATGTAAGACAACTAAAAATAGTCTCATGAGGTATTTGACTACTCTTGGACTTTTATAATAATTATAAATTTTTCATATGTCATGAATCGACCCTTGAAATGCACATTTATTTCTTTGCCATTCATACTGATGATTGATTTTTTTTAAGTTAAGTAAACATTTTTATGGTAAAGACCTTAATTTATTACATCGAAGTGCATTATGAGTAACCCTGAGGAATATATGACTTGTCAGTTGAGTGGAAAGTAAAAACTTGACTCACTGTCAATGATGCATCTTGAATTCTGGCAATGTTTAACTCTAGCAGTTAAACACCTGTTAGGCTCATGTGATTTCATGATATCCAACACCAACATCATTTCAGTTTTTGTAAGCTCTTTTCTGTTTCTCAGTTACTCGAAGGTATGTACACGCAGTTGGATGACAGATGTTAATTCCCAGAAATTTCACTGGGAAGTAATAAGCTCAGTGAATTTCAGTGAGCAAAGTTAATGTTTCTTTCCTACAGGACTTTTCAGAGCCTATAGTACATGCAGTAGCATGAACTACAATGGTAACTGCTAGCTGCTGGAGTTAGGACCAGTAGTTAATCAATTAAAAAAATAAGTTGAAACAGAGGATCATAAAAATAGACTCAAGCCCTAAACATTCTAACTTCTGTCTTCATTTGCTGACTTTTTGCTCTGAACTGAGGTCTTTTCTTAGACTCCACCCACCATTTCTTGGGAACACACTGTACCCTTTGTCCCGATGTCAGTTTGGCTTTCTTCAGACAATACCGGGACTTATATTTGTGAAGCAATTTGATACCAAATCCTTCTAGATTTTTATGAATTTTTCCCAGCTTTTCAAATCTTGCCCACACCTAGTGTGACAGCAGTTTTCTAGCAACTTGTCCTTGTCATGTTTTTCTAAAGCATCTAACCTGGTTTTCCCAGGACCAGCCACTTCTTTTCACAGTCGCATCTCACCCACCTGTGTGTAGTTAAAATCACAAGACTAGCAGCAACAATGGGGATGGGAGCAACACGGTCGCTGGACACTCAGCAGTGTGAGCATCAGGCTGTGTTGCCAGGAGTTGTCGGGTAGTCGGGCAGTTGTCTGCCTGGACTCTGTTAACCTGTCTGCTGCATGCTCATACGTATCATGAGTCTCCAGGAAGGGCTTGAGTGTGTGTTTTCCTAACTTAATTATCCTGGAATGCTTGTGTGTTCCCTGCAGGACTTGTGATCCACAGAACAGACTTTGAGAAACACTGGCTTGCAGCCACTTTGGAACAGTTTCCTGTAGGAGTCATGATAAATTCTCTCTTTGTGCCGTAGGCTCCTGGGTAAACAGACTGGTCTGACGCCTGATGCTCCATACCTGGATCCCTGCCTACCCCTAGACATTAAAGATGAAATCCAGCAAAACGGACAGACCATATACCTACGAGGGACTGGAGACTTTGACCTTTGTCGAGAGACTATCCAGCCATTCATGAATAAAACAAACGAGACACAGACTTCCCTCAATGGGGTCTACCAGCCCCCAATTCATTTCCAGAACAGTGAATTCTATGGCTTTTCTGAATTCTACTACTGCACCGAGGATGTGTTACGCATGGGGGGAGACTATATTGCTGCTAAATTTACTAAAGCTGCAAAGGTAACCTTCAAAGAAACCATCTGCTACTGCATGCTTTTGAGGGACCAGTGTGGATGGTGACAGCTATGTCCTCTGCATTTGGAGCATGTTCCCTTTGGTTGAGGGGAGGTTAAATAGTCTTAGCAGAAGTGAAAAATGTATTATCAGCTGGCTTGTGCCCACCACTGTCTTAGTTACTCTGGTTACCAGTGACCTGCAGATTACAGTCTTTTCTGTCGTCCTGCTTTGCTGCATCTGACAGCTTCTGCTGCCTTCCCATTCCCTGAGCTGCCAGGACACTCCTATTTTCTTGTTCTTTCTGCCTTCCTGATATCCCTTAAGCCTTGCTGATGCCAGACTCCCATGCTTGGCCCCTGATCTTCAGGCTCTTGGGTGGTGTCACCCATGCTCGTGCTTTGTCACTGCCTCTCAAGAAGCAGCTCCAGGCCTCACCCTGCCCAGTTGCCTGCTGGATTTCACACTCCAAGCAAACCCCTCATCTCTCCCCATTCTCTTCCCATTGTGCTGTCTTGGTTAATGCCATCGCCAACCATCCAGTCCCCCTGCCTGAAACCTAGGAGTTATGCACTTCTCCCTGTCTCTCATTCTTCCCTCCCTATACACCCCCATATAATCCATCCTCAAGTGTGATATTTTATCTCACAAGCATGTCTCAAACCCACCTCAGCGTCTAGAGCACTTTATACTCCAATCATATCAAGCAGCTGTTAGTTTCCCTCACACTCCTTGCTACTTCTCGTCTGTGTCTTGGTTCATGGTGTCTCCTCTTCCTGAAATGCCTGTGCTGACCCCTCATTGCACCTGAGCCATGTTCCCTTGTGTCCCTGTCGCACACCCGCACACCTGGGCAAGTTTCACTATTCTTTGAGCCTCAGTTTCTTCATCCTTTAAACAGAGGTCAGGTCGGTAGCCATGCCGAGGAGTTTGGTATTACATTCGGAAACACACAATGCTCGATAAATTCTAGCTATTAGTATTATTACAGATAACTTCAGGAAAAGGTGGTACATCTTCCCCTTCTCTTAAAGACAAAGGCTTTCCTAATCATCATTGTCTTCCCAGTACCTTACACCGTGTCCTCCACATAGGTACTTAGCTTCAACCAGCTAAAAGACTGCTTCACTTTTCCAAAAGTTCATGCCTGTACCATGCACTCACGGAGGGAGAAACTAAACAGTTTCAGAGAGGTTGGTTGTGGGCAGTGAAGTGCTCTTTAACAATCCCTTGGTAGAATTTTAAGGTAAAGAACAGCATTGTATTTGCTAATCAATAAGTATTCACTGAGCGTATCTCTTTGTCTTGCATTCATTGTATAAGTTAAGCCTATGTGTTTCCGAATTGGAAGGATGTGCTTGTTAAGAATATGAATTTGGTAAACCATTTTTAAGTTGAAAAGTTTTTAATAAGCTTTTACTAATGATGTATTTTGGGTTTGAAAATTCTTTCAGGATTATTGTGCAACAAAGTGGTCAATCTTACGGGAACGCTTTGACCGAGGACTGTATGCCTCTCACGCTGACCTCCATAGGCTTAAGTAAGTACTAGAAGGCCAAGCCTGGGGTGTTCCTAAGAAAACATCAATTCACTGTTGGCTTGCCACGCCCTGGCATCAGTCTACCTGCTCATCCTCCTCTGTCACTGTTCCATCTCATGTGCCCTTGGCTCCTTTCCAGTGGGACAAATACTTGTGCCCAGACACAACCTTTTTTTTTTTTTCCTTGCTTTTGCTGTCCCTTCCCCCTGAAATTCATGAGTTGATACCTTTGCTTGTTCAAGTGCTGCCCACACATCCCGACTTCAGTCAGGTCAAGCTGGCCCTTTCCAATCTTCCTCTGCCCAGACTCCATCCCTCTCTCTCTGAGTTTCTAGAACACTCATACACCTCTCTCATGCATTTATCATGTTCTGCTTTGTCTCATAGTTATTTGCTGCTTTTTAAAAATCCCTGTCATTATAAGTCACTTAAGTGCAGAGACTATATCGTGTAAATTACTGTATTTATTATTTGCTTAGCACAATGCTTTGTAAAAAAATAAGCCCCTAATAAATATTTAGAATCCTAGAATATCAGAGTTGAAAAGGACCTTCGTACCTTCTCATTTCATGTAATAAAGAAACTGCAGTACAAAGAAGTTGGAACTTGCTTAGTATTTATTCAGTGAATAAATGTTGGAATGCCCAAGGGGAAAAATCTGTTGGTAACATATTAAATTATACCAAAACCAAGTTTCGTGAGCTAACTGATTTAGACAGGTGAACTCTTTGGTGTGGTAGGACGGGGGCACGCATCAAGTAAATCAATTTGAAGTGCACACAGTTGGTGCAGCTGCCGGGAGAGGTGGCCTGAGGAAGCCTGTGCACCAGCGCTGGTCACAGAGGGAAGAACCGTCTTCGTGGTGCCTTTTGGACACGTGACTCAGCCTGATGTGTGTTTGTGCTTGTTGTTCATAGGTATCAGTGCTTCAAATCCGCCTGGATGTTTGAAGTGTTCCATAGGGGCTTTTCGTTTCCTGTCAACTATAAAAACTTAAAGACTGCCTTGCAAGTTTACGACAAGGAGGTTCAGTGGACCCTGGGAGCAATCCTTTACAGGACCCGCTTTTTACCCTTAAGGTAGGGCTGCGACTTTGGTAATGAGAGTCACTGCTGCTTTTCTGCAGTGACAGTGCCTCACGGCGACTGTGGCGTGTGGGTGTTCGGGGCCCTGCTGTGAGAGCTGCCTCGAAGAATAGGGGAGTCAGCGGCGTTTGCCTTTGGTTTCCGCATTTTCCCACAAGCACTTCCTTCCTCGCCACCCTGCCCATCCCATAATACGTAGCACTTTTGTGCTGCTGTTCTATGTTTGATTATTCTCAACTGTCTGCTTCCCAACCCTGCATGAGGGTTAACTCAGGGATCCTTAACCTCTGTGGCTTTGGACCCCTTCTCAAAATACTGTTTTTAGATGCGTAATATGAGTACGTAGGATTACAGAAGAAAACATTGTGTTGAGATGCATCTATCAAAGTACTATAGAAAACTAACGTGTGGTACAGTCATACATGTTCTTCATTATTAACACATTAAGTAGCAAGATCTGGCAGCAGAACTAGCACTCTTTGTGAGTTCAGTGCAGTAATGAGCATCAGTGACACGTGGAGTTTCGATGACACTATGTGTGATGTGAACGATTCGTGGTTTTCATTAGGAACTGAGTCACATGTCCTGCCAGTACTGCAGTGCCTACGTTCACAATCAAAGAAAATGCTAAATTTCAGTCAGAGATTGGTTAAATGAAGACCATTCAAGTTCACCATTCAAGTTTGCAGACCTGGCTGTCAGTTGACCCCGTGCCAAAGACCCTGGTTAACTGATAATGCAATATTAGCTCTTCTCCAGCCGGGCTAACTATAAAGATTGTGAGAGTGGGTCCTGCAGGTCACAGACCTGTGGTTTGATTCTGCATTGACTCCTTTGTATTAGAAACCCTCACAGTGCTTCCAGATTTCTCTGGTTTTCACTGACCAGATTATAATGATGGTGCCTGCTGTGGACATCTGAGTATAGTTTCACATGTGATCGCGTTAATACTTACAGGTACCCCACATCGGGCCATACTGTCCTCCACTTCACAAGTAAGGAAACTGAGTCTCAGCCACCAGGGTCAGGTTTCGGTCCCCAGAGCCGGGGCCCACACACCAAGCCCTCCCGCCCCATCCCCTGCACACTGTTTCCGCCACTCCCTCGCTTACCTGTCCTGTTTGTTTCTGTTGTTTGGTCTCCCCGTGGGCAGAGACATCCAGCAGGAGGCTTTCCGGGCCAGTCACGCTCACTGGCGGGGCGTCTCCTTTGTCTACAATCACTACCTGTTCTCTGGCTGCTTCCTGGTGGTCCTGCTGGCCATCCTGCTCTACCTGCTGCGGCTCCGGCGCATCCACAAGCGCACTGTGCGCCCCGGCTCTGCCGCCGCGCTCTGGATGGAGGAAGGCCTCCCCTCCCAGAAGGCCGCCGGCGCCTTATGAACCACAGTTAGATGCTCCAGGAAGACTCTCAAGGAAAAGCCATTTTTGCCTCAGGGTTTCTCCTCTTTATTTTCCTATGGTTTTGTTTTTTCTTTCCCTTTTTGTTCCTTAAAACAAAAGCAAAATCTGATGTTTGTAAGCCTTGCTGTCCATTTAGCTGTTTGATTGCAGCTTTAAATTAAGGAACAGGGAAAAGGGAAATTCACTTGATTTTTGCAGCGTGGGACATCTGCCAAAAACTAACACGATTTTGGGGTTTTCTTTAAGGTACGTTAAATTTTAAATAATGCACTTTGATATCGTAGGGATGTGGAAGTGGTGCATTCTGTCTGTGGAGACAGGACAGAAGAGTGATGCTTTAAGAGAACCAAAAAACGTATTGACTGAAATTATAATCTTTTTCCTCTATCTTGAAAGCTCTAAACTAAAGAGGGTGATGTTTAATTTTTATTTATTTTCATGTCTATCACTGTACATGTTTTCTTTGCAGTTTTAAAAATTTAAAACCATTTATTTCCAAAATAAAGAAATACAGGCACCGAGACGTAACCATTTTTAAAATTTATAGTGAAGAGATATGAAAAATGTCAACTATTGACTAGAGCTTTGTGTGTGTGTTCGAAGAATGCTGACGAACCAGAACCAGGAAACACAGTGCTCGTTCCTTTAAAAACACACTTCAGAGTTTACTGTTCATTGCATTTAGAAAAATCCTTGTTACGGTCATCTTTTCCTGACCACAGGTAATTACTTTCTTTATCCCATATTTCAGTGGCCTTAGAATACTTTGTTTTTGAAAGAATTGGAAAATTCATCAAGTCTCACTGGTTTTAATTTTATTAGAACTAGAGCTGGTTGGTACTCACTTGCAGTCACTTCAGTGTTTCTTAGCAGTACATTTTTGCTTGTTTAATTGTGCTCTAATCTCTCCCAACTTCCAGATGGCATTCCCATCTCCCCCAGCCTCTCAATTAAAAGTTGTCTCAGCAGTTTCATTTGGGAGACCCAGTGCCTAGCTTAGCAAGTTCTCTTTACTACTGCTATAGCTGAGGCCGTGGCTGGCAGTGCCTGTCTTAATCCAGACTAAGGGAAGAGTCTGAATCTAATATGAGAAATAAACTCACATTTTGAAGAAAACAAACCTGACATTTTCAGCAACTGAATTGGCATATGTGGGATTGCTTGTTTTTCACCTATTCATTTAGTTTAGAAGTTTTGGGAATTTGTATACATAGTGTTTTTTTAGATGAAGTTCTTTTTGTGTGTCTGTATGCACATGTGTGTATACGTGTGCCATTTCCTAATGCCAGACCAGTTAAATTCACGTACTTGGTAGCAAATTGGTACCCAGAAGTGTGGTCACTGCTATAACAGATACCTGGGAACTGTGGAAGCAGCTTTGGAACCGGGTAATGGGCAGAGGCTGGAAGGGTGCGGACGAGCAGACTGGAAAAAGCCTGCATTGCTGTGAACTGATCGTTAAGGGGGATTCCAGTGAGGGCCCAGAATAAAAGACTAGGGACAGTCTGCCCCAGGTGTGGCTTGACCTGCCACTCCAGAAGGTACAAGTCATAAAGCTTGGTGGTGTCAGAGCTCCTGCTTCTACAGACAAGAGCTGTGGGGGCATGGCTCCCTCCACCTAGACTTCAGAGGATGTTGTGAACAGCCAAGGTGCCCAGACAGAGACTTGTCACAGGCAAAGTAGTCCAGCCAGAGCCAGTTCTTCCCAAGTAGTGCCTTGGGGAGCCACAGGACCTAATGGTTGTACAGGTTGTCAATCTCCTTGAGGGGATTCTGCCTCTCTGACTGATCTCATTTGCATCATATTTGCACCTCATGGTCCCAGTCTTAAGAAAGGGGGTGAGCTTCTGGCTCTGTAACAAGTTGATCTTGGCCACCCACCTCCCCCCTTCCCAGCTGGAGCCATGGCTCTTTGGTGGAGACTGCAGGGAGCTGAGGACCAAACCACAGGAGGTCAGCGGCAGGATAGGAGGAGGGAAAGGAAGGGGCTGCAAAGGGGCAGAGAGGGCAGATGGGGACCCAAGGGAGTTGGTGGGGGGAACCCCTCTTCTGGGTCTGGGCATAAAGAAGTCTCAAGGCACATACATCAGGGTCCCGAAACAAGGGCTGAGAAAAACCTCACTGCTTCAGCTGAGAGGGAGTGATAGATTTTCCATTTTTAAAGAAAAGTTGAAGAATTTGCAAGAAACACCATATGTGGCCTGTAAAGCTTAAAATATTTACAAAAAAAGTTCACTGGCCCCTGCAAGAACCATCCAATTCAAGAAAGGATATAGACAATAGCATCCTCTTAATTCAAGAGTGCAGTTACCATTTGTGGACACAAAAAGATGGGCAAGAGAAGTAATCAAACTTCAACCTTAAAATATTTGTTTATGCAGCAGAATTTCAGATTCTAGATTATTTTCAAGATGAGTTTTCTAACAAACCAGGAGACCTAGCCTCCCCAAAATAAAATTTTAAAAGTGCTGTCGAAGGGAGCTCATTATGCTGTGTTGAGATGTCTGTAGTCACAGCACATCATGTTCCAGAGAAGGTCTCATGTAGTTTCTCCCGGCTCTGTACGTGCCACACAGGGGAAGGCGGCCAGGTGCTGTCTCTGAGTGATGCAGGGGTGGGTGAGAGGCAGGCAGGGAGGAGCTTGATTCAAGAGGAGAAGGATTCATCTCTAGAGCTGACCGGAGAGGCAGTAACTGTGCACTTGTAATAAAAAGCAAGAGAAATTGGACTGGGAACTTGCTAAAAGCTTTGTCAGAGAAAAACATTCTGTGTTAAATCTCAGTAGAAACAATCCAACAGTACATTCTTATGTTCCATAGGCATATCATGTACTTCTCCTTTTGTAAACCTCCAGGGAATGTTCTCAAAGATGTCATAGTTCCTTTAGGGACATCACAGGAAAAGACGGACACATGGATTTGTACCAGTGGTTTTTGCCCACTTTCACCCCTGCACTGCTAGTGTTAGGCAGTGCTTCCCAGCTTGGGGGTAGAGTGAGGATGCTGCTGGTGGCCAAGGCCAGTGACCTGGGGGCTCTGCCTGGCCAACCTGAAGGCCGAGCACTCAGGCCTTCACCACCTTTTTCCACACCTGTGCACTCTAGAGTGACAAACTCTCAATGCACAGATATTTACATCTTAAACTCAGGCCGACATGGAACAGTCGTCCTTATGAGGAGCCTGTGTCACTTAGCAAGAAACTAAAAAAGACAGATGGGTTTTCCAAGCTTTAAAAAAACATCAGCTTTAGAATTCTGTGCGGTAATGTGCAATGCAGCAAAATTACCTCGAAGTAAATTATTTATTTATTTCAGTGTTTTGTTTCTTACGACATTAAGTTTCCCTTTGAATAATGAACGATGTGATCAACCAAGGAGAATTCTTCGTTCTGTTGCTAAAATTATAGTTTACAGTTAGGAATGACAGGAACTAAGGGAGCATTGAAAAAATTTTTTTTGTTCAAGTGATGTTTCCCATTCAAAGTAAGAATGATTCTCTTGCAAGGTCATTGTGGTGTCCTGTCACTTGCTGTATGTGGCAGCCTCACATCGCTACACGTGCACACGGATGGGTGTTGAAAATCAATAAAATGAAAGTTCATCTGATGGCCTGTGGACGTGTGAGCTTGCTTGCTTGTGATTTAGGTAGATTTCTCTCTGGTGTTTGGATCTTCTTACTCATTAGAATGATAAGTTGAACCTGAGTCTAAATTCAGTAAAATAAATTGCATCTGACTGCCCACTCTGTTTGCATTTGTTGCATTGGATGTGCACACCCTGAAGCACGGCTGTGCGGGTTGTAGAGGGAGGAGTCCGTGCACTCTGTAACACAGGAACCAGATATTTCACAAGGAGAAATATTGGCCAACCTGTGACATTCACCGACAATAATTGCCAAACCAAGACAGCTGTTTATAAGGTCATTTTAAAGTACCTATTTATGTATAGACAAGAATAAGAAAATTAACCAACTTTTATGTATTTACTCTTATAGATAATAACAGCAAATGCTGACTTTAAACTATACCACTTGCAATTAGATCTACGCTTGAAGCCTTTGGTTTATTTCCAGAGAATTACGAATCTCATTACGAATGTTACTAGAAGATAGAGAAGATTGAATTAGAAGCGAGGCATCTTTTCAGCTATTTGAGAATATATAGCGGTTGTTCTGGAGAGGAAGGTAGGCCTGAGCCATACCTGAAAGTAGATGGCAGATGGAAAGGGAAGGGGACCAGCTGTTAGGAACAACAAAAATAAAGGAAAGTGAGCCCAAAAGTGGGGTGCTAAAGCCATTGCCCACCAGAAGAACAGGTTAATAATTTTAACATAGGACTTTCTTTTTTTTCTTTTTTTTATTTCAGCATATTATGGGGGTACAGATATTTATGTTACTTATGTTGCCCTTGCCCCCCCCAAGTCCGAGTTTCAAATATGTCCATCCTTCGAGTGGTGCGCATTAACATAGGACTTTCTTAAATGATTTTTGAGGCAGTGCAATAAATATAGGTCTTTTTGCCTGAGGACAGTACATTAAGATATCTAAGATGGCAGAAGACATCTAAATGTTTATTCCGCTTGGTGGAAATGAAGTGCAACGACAGATCCGAAAGGCCTGGTTCTGGTTTTGTGTTTGTTTTTAGTTTGTTTCCATCTGTCTCATGAATTTGGAATGCACTCCGGGTGTTTTTTCTTTTTCCTTTGAGATCCTGAAATGCTAATGGTTTACACAGAGGGGGTTGTTGTACACTACCCCACACTGGTCTGGGGGCAGAGAAGTGCAGGTCACCTCTGTTAGCATCAGACTGTCTTCTTTTGGAAAGGTCATCAAGACACAAAGGGGTGCCTGCTAACCCCAAACACATCTTGGCAGACTGGGCCCCACCTCGTCTGGGAGCCTGTTGACCTCAGCCCCTGACCCCAGCTCTTCTTAACAGGAGAAGAGTTTATCTATTGATGTGTTTTCTTTTGCTTTTAGCAAGGGTAGTTCCCCTCCCCTGTGCAGTCTTGCCCCTTTCTATTAATGCATCCATTAAGGTTGAGAAAGACCTGCTGCAGGGGAAACCAGCCGGCACTTTGGCCTTCGATCTTTGCCCTTCACCCTTGATCCTGTTTGGCAGGTGTATGACATCTGGGCTCCAGACTTCACAGCCACTTAAACGTTTCTGTCAACAGCCTGAGTCTATTGTATGTATGAGACCCAGACAAGAAGACCAGGCCTTAGGATGTCTGCCCTGAGAAAAGTACTGAAAGCTCCTCACAGGACAAAATGGGGATAGGCACATAGACAGGCTTCTGTTTACACATAACCTCAGTAAAGGGAGGCAAAAGGAGATTTTTTTTTTCTCCTGTTCAATCGTCAAATAAACATCTCAGGCATCTTGTGTTGTTTTGTCTGGGGACGGGGAGCAGGGGGACTGGGAT